TCACGTTGTCATGAACTTGATAAACACTCAAAACCGGGAGGATGTGACTCATAAATTTTTAATGCATGCAATTTTTGTTTTTGAAATTTTTACGGCCAAAAAGGAACGCCTGTTGCGACATCGCGAAATGATTCTAATATTTGGCTGATTTTGTAATTTCTATTTAACTATTTTTTTCAACTTGTGGATTGGTTTAATGGTCTGATTTATTTATGTATTTTTATTAATAAGGGGAAAAATTCTTCGAACCCAGGATAAGTACCACTAGCTGAACCAGGTCAGCAATTCCTTATAGAAAATTTAAAGTTGGCGATTATTATGAATTTTTCCTAACTAAGTGGAAACAGGACACCGTAGAGAAAAAACGATAAAAGCGTCAAAAAGCGATAGCAAATTTAAATAGTAAAACGTTTTTCAAATAGTATAATATACTTCTTCCTTTATCATAATTTTGATGATTTTTTTAAATCATAGAGGTTTAAATTACCGTCAAAAAACGAATTGTTATCTAATGTTGAAAAATTGGGTCGATCGTTTCATTTAAAAACGAACCTTGGACTTTTGGAATAAAGAAAAACCCCTAAAATATTGAAAGTCCGTAACACTTATCGATTTAAACTACATTAAAATAATTTACCTGAAATTTGGTCGTTACGGGTCTTTTTGGTCTACCTTCCTCGCTTGGTCTGCCCGACGCGTTTCGGTTTTTTCACCAAAGAATGATCAGTAACGACCAAATTTCAGTTTCATCAGCTAGCAATCTCATAGAAATATTTTACATGAACGTTTAACAGCGTACAGTGAACAAAAGTCCGCGTTAAGTTCGCACTAATAAATACATTCACGGTCCAGATCATATATGCATTATAATACTCGTTTCTCGTTGTTGATATTAATTATATATGTTTGAAAAAAATAAAATAACCTATTTGAATTTTATTTTCGACCTGTTTTATTAGGTCCACCGTACACTACCGACTTTTATTCGGCCTATCGTTAAGTTGGCTGCTTATTCAGCATTATGTCATGTTTGAAGGCACTTTGCGGACTAACCATTTGACGTGCAATTAGCTTTTTGTTTTGTTTTAAAGAAATTTATTTACAATAAAAGTAAATAAGTAAAAAGAACCCCGTATACCTTTGTTAGAATATTAATATGTAGGCAAAATGTAAAAAAAAGATACTAGTATCATGGTTTTAAAAAGCCCATTTCCTTCTTCTTACATAGCCTGGAATTACATATAAAGACTTAGTACAAAGCTTCCCGGTATTTATAACTTTAATTTACCCTTTTGAACAAACTGTGCTTTGCTGCTAGTATACGAAAGTAGGAGAATGGCTCTGAATAAACACCCTCTTTCTAGCGAATAAATACATTCATTATTGTTTTTATTATCAGGTAAACTAAAAAGTTCTTCTAAATAATCTATGTGTATTCTTATCGTGAAATAAGTAGAAAAATCTAAGTTTCGTCGTATTGCGGACATTCACCGTCATGATAATAAAAAAAGATATATAAAATTTTTAAGAGTGATTTGTTTAATTTTAATTTTTTGGTTTATGTTAGATGAATGTTCGTTTAAAAAAACCACATGGAAATATTTTCCAACATAAACCAAAAAATTTAATAACATATTATTAACTATTCAGAAATAGTGAGATGCGTTCTGGTATGATGTAGGTTTCAGAAAAACATTTTCTTTATCGTGCCAACGTTTCGATCTTTATTGAGACCATCTTCAGGGCTCTATAAAGATCGAAACGTTGGCACGATAAAGAAAATGTTTTTCTGAAACCTACATCACACCAGACCGCATCTCACGATTTCTGAATAATTATCGATTAACGGTCACTAATCTCCACACATATTATTAACATTTTTACTCTTTCTAATTGTACTGCGTACGTTACAACAAAACAGATTATTTACGTAAAAAAATATCCTTTAAGGATTTAAGGACAAAAGGACCTGCGGTTCGTTCCTGTTTACGCTGGTTGACTCTGATTTCCATTTGCGTGATATGGTCGTTCCCGTATTTTTTTATTTTTTATTTATTACCAACTCGTCGATTTGAAATATTTATCATTTTACAAAATAAATAAATGGATCGTCTATATACCTACATAAGGATTTTTTTGAATACACGTTGAAACAACACACTTGGATGTGGAAAATGTTTCAACATTTATGATTTTTCATTGAAGATCCAGTACCCATAAAAGTAAAAATATTGTGCATTATTTGTAAATAATTGTTTAAATCTGATTTGTAACAACGATTAAATAAAATTAAATAAAACATTCTATTTAGTTAATCCTTAGATAACCATGAAAATATAATTTTTGCGTGAAAAGTAATCTTTATAAATTATAACCTTGTAAAATAATTTTTATGAACGATTAAAAATAAAACTACTAACTAAATAAATAAAAAAATAAAAGTTTTCGAGTAATAGTACAAACATAAACAAGTGTAATGTATACTAAGTAATAAATAAGATAATTATTTAATTACTGTTAGATATTTAAACAAAATACCTCACATGAATAATAAAAACATATATCTATTAGAAATTTGTAAAAACTTTCTCTAACGCCAAAAATTTATATATTCGATTTCGCATTATTTATAAGTAATTGTTTAAATTTCATTTGTAACAACGATTAAATAAAATAAAACATTCTATTTAATTAATTCTTAGATAACCATGAAAAAAGTAATTTTTGCGTGAAAAGTAATCTTTATAAATTATAACCTTGTAAAATAATTTTTATGAACGATTAAAAATAAAATACTAACTAAATAAACAAAAAAATAAAATTTTCCAAGTAATAAAGTAAATAAAAACATAAACAAGTATAATATAATATAACAAGTATAATGTATACTAAGTTTCGAAGAAGTAGTACTAAGTAAGATAATTATTTAATTACTGTTGGATATTTACACAAAATACCTCACATGAGTAATAAAACCTATATATCTTTCAGAAAATTTGTAAAACTTTCTCTAAGGCCTTAACGTTTTGACCAATTTCACGCCAAAAGAGAGAAATTCATATTTGGCCAATTTCGTTTTGCTTAATGTTGCAATAAATAGTCCAAAAAAGACAATTGTCGTTTTTCTTGCACAATTTGTTTAGTTGGCTGATAAAAGTAAAACAAAACGTACCAAATACGGCAAATGATTATAATTTTTTTTAACGCACTTTGTTCTTTTTAGTTTATTCTATGCCATACAGTTCTGAAAGGGTAATTCTTTTCTTAGTTATTATTATTTTTTTATACAGTAGATATTTTTCTTGGCAGAAGTATCAATTTTATATTGATAATCCAAGGAAACCCTACCTTACTGTTTTCTGGATTAGTCATTCACAATACATCGATTATCACTCTTTTATTTTATATTTACAGCCACGCATTAGTTCAGAAGAGGGCAGAATTTTCTTTTGACTCCGGGGCTCAAACTCTGTTAATTAATAACAATTAGTTAATTTACTAATTGACGGTTATCGTAGGTCTAAGTCGTTCCATTGACAGCGGTCTTAACTAGGGGGCTCCGACTAAAGGGGAATATAATAATTTCATCCTTGAGGTGACAACGGTTATTATAAAATAGTCTCCGTTTTTCGTACACCTACGTCGTCTCTGCCTTCACGTTTTTGAAGGTCGTCGTCCGTGCAAAACGTGAAATTCTTTGATCGTCAGTTCATTTTTTCTATATATTCAAATGTTTCACAATATAAGTAATAATAGGCCTCGCGAGGAATTTCGATGATAAAAGAAACATAACAATAATAAAATTCCAAGGTACTTGACTTTATGAAGATTAATGACCACACGATTGATATGATATCGTCAATTTCATTGGAATGCGGAATGTGAAAAAATTTCTTGTTTTTCGAATTTTATTTAACCTTACATATAAGTAACAAATACTTATTCAAACTTTTACCAATTTTTTTTTAATTTCACGAATTCTGGATCTTTATGGTCTCGAAGAAAAAAACAAATTCAGTTGTTACTGCCCAGCTTTCAACTTATTTTAAGGACATCATCAGGGCAAAACAATCTTAAATATGTCTACACAGTAGATATTTAAGTTTTTTACAGGCGGTCTCAATCTTCTTGAAGACCGCGGTCCGACCGACTGAGTCGGTCTGCCAGAAAATTTGAGGTCGCCTGTAAAATATATATATGTATGTCGTCCATTTGTAGACATATCAAGACCGTACCTTGATCCAATGCTCGTGATTAAAAAAGAGGTCGATACTTCCAATACTGAATTTCTTTTTTACCCGTGCTTATTTTAACGTTTAGTCTCATTATGATGAAGATAACCATTGATCACTCTTCTAGGTCTAGCGTCTCTCTTCGCGAATTTCAAAGAACTAATAGTCAATTTTGACTTCTTTGCAACTCTATTGAAAGGATCGAAGGATTTAAATTTTTAAAAAAATTTTCTAACAAAATAAGTGTCACAGAAGATTGATCAAGGTGAATGTCACGATCGCGTATACACTGAGAGAGAAAATTATATCCTTTTTACTCAGTTAGAGAACTCAGTTCACTTAGTAATTTTGCACGTGGGATAAGTCAAAAATCGCTTAAAATTGTAAATACATTATTGAGATTTTTTTAAAAATCCAGTTAGAGATGTACTGGATAATTTTGTTAGAGAAAGAATATTCAATTTTCATTTCATTCAGTCTATTGAAAAGAACGAACTATTTTATACTTATTAACTTTCGTCAGAATCTGCTCATAAGTAATGCTTTCTAACATGAGTTTCTGAGAAAATTGCCCGAAGTGAAGATCATGACCGCAAAGTTTAAACGACAGTAAATTTATATCCATTTTGTTACAAATTTACTGTTTATTTGTAACAAAGTTGAAAAATTGAACTCAGGATAAAGATGTTCAAGGAATAATTGTGCAACGTTAGATCAGTCAGAAATCACAAGCAAACAGAAATTTCGAAAAAGAAAGTTTGTACTTACGACAATTTTTGCAGAGGACATCTTTCACGGCCTGAAGGTTTTTACGGCTCCTGAACACTGGTTCACCGAGTGTAGTAAAGTTATGAGGTCCGACACCGTTCACGAACACAATGTACTTGCCGCCTCTCTTGATATTAGTTCTGACCACATCACCGGGCCTCCTGGTGAAGTTGTAGGACTGGCGACAGGGGCCCTGCGTGTCGAGGCCTTTCCTGTCACGGAACAGGAGTCTGACGGGTGAGCCTCGTTTGAGAGGAGAACTGCTTTTGTCCTTGTGTATCCTCTGGACGACGAAGGTGACCCCGTAGAGGCCTCCGGGCTCCCGGGCGACGTTTCTGGACCTGGCCTTCCCTTCGAAGACGGTCCCGGCCATGACGGCCCGGGCGGACACGGCGTTGGTCGCGTCGCCGACGTGGGCGCACGGGGAAAGGGACGAGCCGGAACGGAAACCGCTCCCGGAGGCGAGCCGGGAGAACCCCGCGGTCCGGACGGTCCTAGACGGGGTAACGCCGCCGAATGCGGCTAAGAAGGAAGACGCGAGCGTGAGGAGAAACACCGGCCTCCACGCGACTCTCCCTATACAGACCCTCATATCACTCAGCCGGATCGAGTCAGCAAGGCTGCCAGCAGACACCCGCCAAGGGAGACCATAACGACAAATCCCAAACGACTCGGATCCACCGACAAATACTCTCCTATCCGGGCGAAAGGGATTGAGCGCCGGATAAGCGCATCTCTCGGGCAAACAATCGTCCGACGATAGTCTATTTTTACCGGCCGGAGAACGGGGGAGGTCGTCTGTTCTCTTTTTTCCTTTTACTTTCCAGAAAAGCGTTTCCGGCTATTTTTAGCGAGAGGACGAACGCGAGGACTCTTTACTCGCGTCTTCGAACGGCGGTACCGACGGTGGCCGCTCTATTTCTGGAAAAGGCAAGACGACAGACGAGGAGGGAAGAGAAAAAGAGATAGAGAGAAAAAAGCCCGATTCTCCCTGCTGAGATTTTATCCGAGGGTAGAGTCGATCCCGCGCTCAAAAAGGGGTTGTGAAAGTTAGTCCGGGTGTTGGAAAGGGGGTGGACTCGGCGGCAGTTCCGACGGAGGATCAGGCCAGGGGCCGTCACGACAAGACATGTCAGGAAAGGGTGCTCGCACAACACTCAACACTCACTGCTCATCACATACACGACTAGAGCCTCCTCATCACTACTACAGCTCGCTATCCTCCCCTTCCTGAAGACAAACTGATCTTTTGTTTTTCGCACTCTAGAGTGTGAGGCGCTACCTAGCGGTCCCACTTCACAACTGGGTAGCTGCGGCCCGTGTGGTGGGGCACTGCTACCGCTTCTACCCCTACCCGAACTCCCACCGCCCGACCAACCACCACTGGCCGATTTCAGCCCCCACCCGACCGCACATCAACTTACACTTACTTAAATTTATCGTCCTATGCTACATGAATCAAGTCCGACAGCTTTTCCCTCGCTACCCTTCGCCCGTCGTCCACTGGACTTACGCTGCCCGTGTCTTAAGATATACCACAAACCACGGTGGCGCGGGCGGCCTCCCTCTCCGACGCACAACCCCCTCGCTTACTGAACAAATTTTTAAAAATTAATAATTATTTCAAAAATACATCGACATGAAAACTAAAACTATAGTAGTCCTGTCTAAAATATTTCTTTAAAATCTATTTTTTTTGCGTTTATTCGGCTAGTTTCCAGTTAGAAAGCGTATTGTTTTACTTTTTTTGTGTAAAATATGAACTATAAAATAATATTAAAAAAAAATAAAGTCAGTATGGAGAAAAGAACAATTTTAAAATAAACAAAACTAAATTGAAACTAATTTCATTCTTGTCATATTATTTTATTGTTGATTATAAAAGATCGTATTGAAGACAAAATAACGACAATATTATATATATATTTCAATATATTTATATTATTTATTACATATTTATTATTTATGATAATATATTTTTTAAGTTATACATTATTGTTTAGGTAAATTCAAAAAGCTCTTAGTTTCATCAGATTTTCTTTATTTGTGGAAGACGTCTTTCACTCACCTTGTGAGCATCATCAGCCTTCGTTAAAACAAAACAGATTTTTTTTCAGTTTCAATGTTGACAGTTTGAAAAGAGCAGTTTGTTTTTTATTTTGTTTTGTTTTAACGAAGACTGATTACGCTCACAAGGTAAGCGAAATGCGTCTTCCGTAAATAAAGAAAATCTTCTGGAACTAAAAGCTTTTTGAATTTACCTAAACAATAATACATAATGAGGTTCCATCGCAAAGGGGTACAAACTTTAAAAAAAAAAATTTAAAGGTCACATTATCTAAAATTGTCGGGAATGACACGATATTTTAAATTGTCAAAATTCAGCGATCAAGCCTTGAAATGGATTTGTATCTACTTAGGGAGTTATTAGAGCGAATTTAACACTTGAAATTTCATTTGGGTTTAAGTTAATTTTTGGCCCTGAAGGTTTTTTCGATTCCCTTGCAAGATGTCAGAGGTGTTTATCTTTTTATATCCAAGATTTTTAAGCTTTAATAGTGGTTCAACTAGACCAATATGGACATCTCACCGAAAGAAGACCAAGGAAAAGTCCTTTATGAGGCGCACAAGTATCTATAAGGCACATATTAGCAGAATGCGAGGAATTAGCGTCGCAAAGGATGAGGCGTATGTCCTCCCTGCAGATTTGCTTCTAAGGCCCAGTAGTGGTTATAACAAAATACTGTTTCGATACCTGAAGCAGATAATGTATACAATGGCATATAGAGAGCCCTTTTTAGCCCTTAGCCTAGGTTGAAATAATACGATTGAGTGAATGCATGTATTAGCGTAAACGTTGAAGTATGTTTGTTATGGGATATGGAGTACCCACAAACACACCAACGTAGTCTAGGCTATTTTAGTTTTATACATATTTGTAGTGTGATAGGTGGTAGTTACTTGCGTAAAAATCGTGGTGACCACTCTATTGTGTGAATGTATTTATTTGCGTGAGTGGTGGACACGGTCTGTGAGGAATAACGAGTACCCAGATATCGGTCGAACCAATTAGGTTAATTTAAGTTTTTTTTAAATTAGGTTTGCAATAAAAAAAATTATGATGCCGAGCTCTTAGTCTTATGACGCACTAGACAAAAACAACAAAACACAAAAGTTAAAAACTTAATTGTTGGAGGATCTTTCCCCGTCCGAAGAATAGTGGCAAAGGAAGTAAAAATAAGAAGTTTGAGTACAAATATCAAAAAGTACTTTAATTTAAAAAAATGAATGGCGGCTTTGCCACCAATAAAATTAAAAAAAAAAGCTCAATGACATTACAAAGATAATACTTATGCGAAGCCGCAAAACTGAAGATTGATAGCGGTGAATCCAAGTTTATATCCTCAAACTAGTCAAAGTCCTCAAATTTCGATCACAAATTACTAATTATTTAATACGACTATTTAATTAATCATTAATTACATTGCTTGAATAAAATATTGTTTCCGTAATCTTTCATGTTCTGATATTGATCGGTACCCAGTGATTCGTATTGAAACTAGCAAAAATTTGAAAATACATATAATTTCTGTTTACTTGAATTGTTCGTCAGAAGACCTGGATTTTTCTAAACTTACCCAAATTTTATTCGATTAATGATATAATTAATTAATTAATAATATAATTTTTATAAGAAAATTGCCGACTCTCAGTCCCTTGCTGAAGAGCTTGTTTTGAATAATTTTAATTGTACCTTCCTCAGATCTTGAAAGGACTTACTACAAATAGCATGGGGTCTAGGTTTCTCGAATTATGTGATGATAATGGTATTGTAGTTTTGAACCATCGCTGCAGAGGGTACATAAATCGGGCGCTTACATATATTTGAGTCTGTGAGCAATCCAGAGCTGAATGTTGAGAAATCCAGTCAGTCCTCCTCAGATTTTCTTCATATTAAAAGTTTTCTTAAAGCTCTAATGTTCCTACAATACTCAACTTGATGTGCCCCTTACAAATTCAAGGAAAACCAGTAAAAATTGCTTAATATAGAAACGCATAATATCACAACAACGCATCAAAATTAAAAACGGAAATGCTTAAGGGGAAAAAAATACAGCGAGAATAGGCGGGCCCAAAAAGAAGAGAAAGCGATCAGACTAATCCAAATGGACCGGCCCACTCAACAAACCCTTGATCATGAAGAACCTTGGGCTAGTTGGAATGTTTTCGAATAACAACTCGTTGCATCGCACAAATTTATTCGTACAGACTTACCCAAGTGCAAATAACAGAATGAACAAGAAAGTTTGCCTTTAATATTATATTTTATTTTCTAAAGCATTTTTTGATTTTGAGTGAATGATCATTAATTATAGGACAGTAATTGCAACAGAAAAATATAACTGAATTTTTGAAGAAATGAAAGTTATTGGAGGAAACGAGTTTATGAAAAGCAATCTCTTCTGGTATGCCTCTGTTTATATTTTTTTCCACCGATAAAAGGATAAAAAGCACATTCTTGTAAAGTTGGAAATCTTGGAAATTTTTTTTCCTCATTTGAAAAGGAACATTCATAAATGCTAAACCTGCAACACACTCCATACGTGCTGGGCCTGCGTTGTACAATAGAGTTCCAGTTCTAACTATTAGGACCTACCTGTTGGCAGAATGGAATGGTTCAATCCCGCCCCGGAGAATATCTAGTATTCTGGGGGTGGATGTGAACAGGATCTATGTTTGTGGTGATGTATATGTATTACATATAGCCATTTGAGCGTCTCGATCTGGGTATTTACTCTCTCCTTGCATACTGTGTTTCATTTTTCGTCGCAACAGCAAAAAATACCTGTTGTGGTGATTATTGAAACGGCCAGGCAATGTGACGAGGTGTTTCATTTTTCGTCGCAAAAGGAAAAAATACCTGTCGCGTTGATTATTGAAACGGCCAAGCAATGTGACGAGGTGTTTCATTTTTCGTCGCAAAAGGAAAAAATACCTGTCGCGTTGATTATTGAAACGGCCAGGCAATGTGACGAGATGTTTCATTTTTCGTCACAACAGCAAAAAATACCTATCGCGTTGATTATTGAAACGGCCAGGCAATGTGACGAGGTGTTTCATTTTTCAGCGTAACAATTTGAAATTATTTACTCAAATTCCAATAAGATTGTCCCAGGGAAGAGCCATGATAATATGTGTTTTGTTTAAACAGAATCGTCTGAAACGTCTCAAACGTCTGAGTTGTTGTTACTTTTATTTCAGCGGAACCTACAGACAAAAAAAAATTGACAATACCACAGTTTTTGAATTATTGTTCAAGGGAATGTAGGTGTCTGTAGGGTCCGCTGAGGGTCGTTGTTGGGAAGGGAAACCTCAGACACCCTGAGGGACGCCTGACTCTGGCTTGTTCAAAATGTCCCTCCTGGTAACTGAAGATGAAAAGTTCTTTCAGCCATAGTAGTACTGGAAAAACGACCCATCGTTGACAGCTGAAAAATACATACCAAGAAGTTGGTGCTTTATATTGGGAGCTTTTTGTAACCGAACAAGCCGTTATTTGTAGTGAATAAAAAGTGAGCAATTGGCCAAAAACGGCATCGGTTCCAATTTTCCACCAGGAGAGCAAGATGTGCTACCCCACCCCATTCTGATTAGGACTTACTTGGGGCCCTATAAAGCAGTATTAATGAGAAAACCTTTTCCTCTCTTGAGTACCAATAAAAGCCCAACGATTTGATTGTTAAAAAATCTGGGAAGTTCTGGGATAAGGGAATTACAAAATTAAATTGAAGATAGCAACAAGTAGTGTTAAATTAAATTTTTTAACAAATAACTGAAATTTTTATTGAATATATTCAAGATAGCTATGGAATTGAGCCGAGCTTTACTTAATTGCTTCAATGGAAATTAATTTGAACTTTTTTAAAAAATTATTATGATTTCATCGCCAAACAAAATTTCGAACACAGGAAAAATCAATTGACCCAAATTCACACAATATCAGTAACTTCTTTGTCCTTGGCCTAGCAATTAAAGAATTCGATATCGGTGAATTGTTTTATGAATGAATCACTTGAACTTTTTTATTTAATCTTTGACAAATTCAGATCGTCAATTGTAAAAAGCAATTATGATATCAGCCTTATTTAAAACCGTTTACATTCCGGGGAAATCCGTCGTCGAGTGTATTGCAATTAATTGATAACCTATTTGAAATTTATTACTGAGAATTATATGAGAAACACTATATTTTTACGAAGATAGGGATCGCTTCTGGTCATGTGAGCGATTGATAAGAACTTTAATGAAAGTGAGTGATAGATAGATAGATAGATAGTTAG